ACATTAAAAAGTTTTGACTTTAAATATATTTTAAACGATGGCAAGTTAAACCCATCCTCACCAAGCCTCCAAGCAAACAGCCACATTACCTCCTCTTTAAAAAAAAAAAAAAGAAAAGATTGTTCCCAAAGTTTACAACAATTATGGATTAGTTTAGGCTGTTGGTGCATTTACCGTTTTGTATGCACCCTTAAAGCTGTTAGAGCCTGTGTAAACGAGCTTTGGGCTTGTGTCAATGGTATCAATATGACATCAGTTTGAGAAATCAGGTTTTGTATTCTCATACACTTGTATGGGAATGAAAAATCTGCTTAAAGCAAACAAAAGCCTATCAACACAGGTCCTAATATAGTCTATATATTAATGTTCCTATTTTAGCTTTAAAGGAGTTAAATCTTAAAAATGCATTCAAGTACTTTATGGGCTTTTCCCCATAGTACTCCTTAGGGTAACGGGAGGACACAAACTAGCGTCCTCCCGTCACCCTAAGCTCAGTGTACTGCGAGCTACAGCTCGCGGTATACTGAGACGCCGCAGCTGAAGCGGATCCCGACAATTATGTCTGGATCCGCCCAGCTTCGTGAGTGACAGCTGGCTCTGCCTATCTAGAGGCAGAGCCAGCTGTACCCGCCCCCTCCCCCGTCCGATCCGCCAGTCAGCGCTGGCGGATCGGAGCGGGGAGGGGGGAATCCAGCCCCTCCCCTGTCACGGCTCTCTGCCGTAACAGGATCGAGAGGTGAACGAACGCCGGTATGTGTTCGCTCACTTCTTGATCTACTGAGCCGACCTGTGACAGTCTCATTGTCACAGGACGGCTAGAACTATGAGGTGAGTGAAAAGCACTTAACTCATAGTTCTCCTTTAACTATTAACACAAATGTATCTAATTTGTGTATCAGCTGTACACCCTCAAATCATCTCTGAATTCATTCTGACACTGTCCTTCCTTCTGGAGGGTGGCTACTTTTGTTCTCCATAGTCCCTGTGTGTGTTGTAAAGTAGCCACCGCTCCAAGCTCATTCCCAAGATGGACTACAATTTCAATACCTCCAGAAGGAAGGACAGTGTCTGCACAAATTTAGAGATTATTTGAGGATCTACAGAGTGATTCACAAATAATCTACATTTTTGTTAACAGTTAAGGTACTTGAGTGCATTTTTAAAATTTAGCTCCCGAGTTTAGTGTCACATCAGGGTATTCTAATACAAGGTATACTCTTGGATTGTAAAATGTATCGATTTTATTTTAAGTTCACTAGCTTTATGTGTTTTGCATATTAGCTTTAGTTTTCTTTATTACAAAGTAAATAAACAAATATTTATATACTTTTACTAGCAATACAAAGCCCTCTTTGAAGGAGAAAACTGACCAGATATTTATCTGACTGAATTAGCAAAATTCATATGGCCTTAACACATAAATATGGCTCTTTAATTTAGCCATTTGAGTGTAATTTTAAAATCTCATTGGGCTCTGAAAATACCTATAACCTTTTTTTTAATTAGTAAACCTACCCTGGTATGTCAGCTTTGTAAATTGAGCCTGCTTTTTTTTTAGACTAAGGCAACAGTGGAAAGCAAAACACACTCTGACTAACAATTTTTAAAAAAAAATTCAGACTGGATTCATCAGAAGATATTTTATTTCATCCATATTAACGGATCACAACACCAATGCCATATACTGTATCTACTAGATGCCACCAACTGTTCTTGCTATTATTATGAGCTATTTTAGGCTAGAGAAAGCTGACTGTATGCTTCAATAAGATTATTTCTACCTTAATCTATAAAATCAGCAGAGGGTGCTATTATGTATGAATGAGAATTGTAGGTTATGGCACATATGTGCCTCTGATTTGATATTTCAAAGAATTTCAAAGAGCGGCCAGTTCTTAGCGTATACAATAAAATAAGACATGCTGTGGCTCACTGTTCTGAGAAAGCTAGACAGATAGAGACACAAAGAGATAGAGATAGAGAGAGATAGAGATAGAGACACAAAGAGATAGAGAGAGAGAGAGATAGAGATAGAGACACAAAGAGATAGAGAGAGAGAGAGATAGAGATAGAGACACAAAGAGATAGAGAGAGAGAGAGATAGATAGAGATAGAGACACAAAGAGATAGAGAGAGAGAGAGATAGATAGAGATAGAGACACAAAGAGATAGAGAGAGAGAGAGATAGAAAACAGAAAAAGATTAAACTACTTACATGTGTGGAGTCAATTTAAGGAATACATGATAAAACCAGGGACTACCAACAGTGGATAGCTGATGTAGTTTAAGGGGCAATTCCCCTTTCCTCAGCTTTGAGGAAGGGGGAATTGCCCCCAAAATGCGTCAGTCTCCAGTGTAGGTCGTCCCTGGTTTTATCATTTACTACTTGAATTCACTCCACAAATGTGAGTAGTTTTATCTATTTATGTTTGATTGCTAATAAAATGATATAACACGAAGAGAAGGCCCTGTCTAGCCTGCGTGTTGTTTATAAATAGACCCCAAAATGTATCTAGATCCAAATGTGGATTTAGAGTAAGAATGAGTTAGAGCCTACATATGGTTTTTCTTACTATCTCTGTGGAACACAATGGGACACAAAACATTATACATTGACAGGAGTTTTAACCATTTCCTCCATATCCACATTAAAAAGTTTTGACTTTAAATATATTTTAAACGATGGCAAGTTAAACCCATCCTCACCAAGCCTCCAAGCAAACAGCCACATTACCTCCTCTTTAAAAAAAAAAAAAAGAAAAGATTGTTCCCAAAGTTTACAACAATTATGGATTAGTTTAGGCTGTTGGTGCATTTACCGTTTTGTATGCACCCTTAAAGCTGTTAGAGCCTGTGTAAACGAGCTTTGGGCTTGTGTCAATGGTATCAATATGACATCAGTTTGAGAAATCAGGTTTTGTATTCTCATACACTTGTATGGGAATGAAAAATCTGCTTAAAGCAAACAAAAGCCTATCAACACAGGTCCTAATATAGTCTATATATTAATGTTCCTATTTTAGCTTTAAAGGAGTTAAATCTTAAAAATGCATTCAAGTACTTTATGGGCTTTTCCCCATAGTACTCCTTAGGGTAACGGGAGGACACAAACTAGCGTCCTCCCGTCACCCTAAGCTCAGTGTACTGCGAGCTACAGCTCGCGGTATACTGAGACGCCGCAGCTGAAGCGGATCCCGACAATTATGTCTGGATCCGCCCAGCT